GGAAAACAATCTAATTTTGTAAATTTTTTCCTAAACATTGCGACTCATCTCGTTTTGCTATATATATATATATCCGATTCGGTTTTCATCCGACTCAATTTGCTCCACTCCGTGGCACATGCGAAACAGGTAGCAGTGTCCAATTCGTCATCCTACTCCATACCAGTACACGGATCCAGCCTCGAAGCTGCACGTGTGAAACACAACACAACATGGTACATAATTTCCTAAGTATTGTGACCCACCTCGCCTTATTTTATATGTATCCGAATCCGTTTTCAGCCAATTCAATTGGCTGAAATCCGTCGCACATGCTAACCAGGTAGCAATGTAAACTTCTTCAACAAATTCCGTACCAGTACACGGATCCAGCCTTGAAGCTGCATCGGTGGAATACAAACATGTGGGAACATGCTTTGTAAGTATTGTGACCCATCTCGTCTGAATTCGTAAATATATCAGATTTCGTTTTCATCCGACTCAATTGACTCAAACCGTGGCACATGATAACCAGGTAGCCGTGTCCACTTCGTCATCCAACTCCATAACAGTACACGTATCCAGCCTCGAAGGTGCATCTGTGGAAGACAACAAAATTTGGTACATACTTTCATAAGTATTTTACTTACGTCGCCTTACTTTATATATATCCGAATCCGTTTTCAGCGGACTGAAATAGCTCAACTTTGTGGCACACGCTAACCATGTAGCATTGTCCACTTCCTCAACCAATTCCGTACCAGAACAAGGATACAGCCCAGAAGATGCATCTGTGGAACCCAATCTAATTTTGTTAGTTATTTCATAAGTATTGTGACCCATCTCGCCTTACTTTATGTATATATCCGAATGCGTTTTCAGCCGACTTAAATGGCTCAACTCCGTGGCACATGCTAACCAGGTAGAAGTGTCGACTTCCACAACCCTGTCCATACCAGTACACGGATACAGCCTCGAGACTGCATCTGCGGAACACAACTTAATTTGGTACATACGTTTATCAGTGTTGTGGCCCATCTAGACTTAGATTATATATATATCCGATTTCGTGTTCATCCGACTCAATTGGCTCCACTCCGTGGCACATGCTAACCATGTCGCAGTGTCCACTTCCTCAACCAATTCCGTACCAGAACACGGATACTGCCTCGAACCTGCATCTGCGGAACACAACCTAATTCGGTAAAAAGGTGTATCAAAATTGTGACCCATCTAGACTTACATTATATATATCCGATTCCGTTTTCTTGCGACTCAATTGGCTCAACTCCGTGGCACATGCTAACCAGGTAGCAGTGTCCACTTCGTCAACCAATTCCATACCAGTACACGGATCCAACATCAAAGCTGCATCTGTGGAACCCTATGTAATTTTGTAAATTTTTTCATAAGTATTGGGACCCATCTTGCCTTAATTTGTATATATTCGAATCCGCTTTCATCTGAATCCATTGGGTCAACCCCATGGCACATGCTAAGCAGGTAGTAGTGTCGAATTCCTCAACAAATTCCATACCAGTAAACAGATCCAGGCTCGAAGCTGCATCTTTGGAACACAATCCAATTTTGTACATTTTTTCCTAAATATTGCGACTCATCTCGTTTTGCTATATATATATATATATCCGATTCGGTTTTCATCCGACTCAATTTGCT